ATATTATTTTGGCCTCTCGTAGTTTTGAAGTAGATACAAAACATCCCTGTTTTACATGACATGGACAAAACTACATGGAGATTTAAACACTCCAGCCATAGAGTTCCTCCCATACACTGTATAAAAATAATGATGTCAGTCAGCCATTGGTTTGTGGACTCCCATTTTAAAGCCTTGAGTTTGGCATTTTGGCCGTCGCCATCTTGGATCTTTGAAGCCAGAAGTGACCACATCTGGACAAGAGGGTGGAGACAGCCCTAACGCTAGCTGCTAGCTAGATTAGCATGGTGCATTTACATCTATGGTTAGTTATGATAACGCTAATATTTCTTATTTTTCACGATTAAAACTAAATGTACTTACCAGAAAAAAATTTCGACTCCTTCGAGGGTCTTTTAATACAACTAAATGACTTTAGGGCAACCAAAATGTTACAATTAACTTTCATGAACTGAGAATAGACTGAGACAGTGACAGCTAGGGCTACACTCTACCTTCTTATCTAACCAAGTTTCGGCACGCAACATTCGGGACCTACTTGTCACTGAAAGCAGCCACACCCTGAGTTATGTGTAATTTTAAGCCTCAATAAAATGTCAGTTACATAAAAATTCAGCCCTGTACAGTTGTCAAGAATGTTGACATTAGCTTTAGAGACCAAAACCAATTTTGGTACCAGGGTGAAAACATGTTTCTGCTGTAAAGTTGTGTATTTGAACATGGGGGTCTGTGGGGGTTGACTGGTTTCTGAAGCCAGTCTCAAGTGGCCATTTGAGTAACTGCAGTCTTTGACAGCTTTGTGTTGGCTTAACTTTTTAGCCCTGAGGTATCCGCTGTTAGCTGGGGTTTAGGTCAGATCACCGTGCAGGCCAGTTAACCTCCTCCACAGCAAACTGGGAAAAATGTTTCTTTATGAAGGCTCACAGTTGTCGAAAACACTGGTTCCCAACTTGTGGGACGTGGTCCAAAATTGGGCCACGTGGGTGGACCAGTTGGGAACTACTGGTCTACACCTAACTGACATCAAAGAACTAGCGGCGACGAAAGCCAACTGTTGCGTCGTCTACGTCGCCTCACGTCGCCCTGTGTCAGTTGCATTTGAACACACTACACGGACTACATCCGACGGCCAAGTAGCACGTACGTTCTGCGCCTGCGTGAGAGAGAGCGGAGTGAGAGAGTGGTACATCCTGTCAGCCGAGGGGTTTCCTATCTGTGCAGCCGAGCACCGCAGCACCTCCACGGACTATTACATCCAGACGGTCCCGGTGTTTCCTCCGCAGGCTCCACTTCACTCAGCTGCCCGATAAACCCGCTGCTTCTTCCCACTTTAACCTGAATAACAAACCAGGGCTCGGTGCTCCGGTTGGATCCAAACGGAGAGCCGGGGCTAGCTCAGAGACTAGCAGAGGCTAACTGGCTGTGCTTCCCTCCGGTCATGCTGCGGCTAACGCTCCACTAGCTGCTCCCAGCTAGCTCCGGTTTGTTATTCAGGTTAAAGTGTGAAGAAGCAGCGGGTCTGTGGGGCAGCTGAGTGAAGTGGAGCCTGAGGAGGAAGCACCGGTTAGCCCCGGTTTCACTACAGGCAGATTCACTCGCTACAGGGGCGAGGAAATAAAACCTGAACAGCCAATCAGAGTGATCTCTCTCACCGACAAGCTCCAAAAAGCCGCCGACGCTGAAGTGCTGACGGCGCGGGACACACCGCAAAAACTAGGGCGACAGACGCTCACCAACGGCCAGACTTTGGTCGACGGCCGACCATCGGCTTGGGGTGTCAGGGCCTTTAAATGTCACTGGCTGGAACACTATGTTTCCTCTCTCAGAATGACAGAGCTTAACCAAAGAAAAACAGACCAAGAAAAACAGACCTGACTTTTGCAAATTCAGTTTCACAAATTCAGCTTGTTAAGTCGGTTGTTCAAGTTCCAAGCGTTCATCTTAAATTTTGGTGTCTGTAGTCGTTTAAATCGATTAAATATTCCAGAATTTCTTTAAGCAACAATGACTAAATTCACATCTCATAATTAGTGTTTGTTTTCTTGTCCTGAACGTTTTTGGGTTTTGGACTGTTGGTCGGACAAAAGAAGACATTTAAACACTTTGGGCTCTGGCAAACTGTGACACATTAACACTTCTAATTAGTGTTTTTGATAATCAGCAAACTTTTAAAGGCCTCAAACAGCTTCCACAGGAAAATCAGTGTCAGAGCTGACAACTCTTTTGAGACTCAAGTTTGAGGAGGAATAAATGCAAAGCACCACTACCCTCTGCTGGCAGAGCCCCAGCCTCCAGGACCAAAATACATCCAAGGCAAGCCGTAGCATCTTTCAGTCTTCACTGCATGCTTAGACTACAGCATGACTAACAAAACCTATAAGAGAGTAAATGATTGTTACCGTAACAGCTTCATCATCTCATCCTCCTCCTGCTGTGATGCTCTCTCCTTCCAACCACCTCTATTGTTCTTTTATAACGTCTAATTCCTCGCCGGCTCTGCTGGGCTTCCTGCTCATTCATCTGGATATGGGATTGTCTCTTCTAACGCTTTTCTGTGTTTCACTCTCCTACTCGCGTCTATCAATATCTCCATTCTCTTCTCTCGGGTTAAATCCATCCGAAAACACATGAAACCAGCTAGGTTTCTGTTCCATCATTTTGTGCTGAGTACTCACAGTGCTACATGTCAGCGTTCAGACCAAAAGACTAATAACAGAGAAATACAGTAAATTACATCCAGGCGGAGTTGAACTGCAGAGGCTTCTTTACCAGTTCAACAGCCATGCCAGTACTCTGCATTCACCTTTAGCCGGCAGCCCTTGCACACAAAAATGGGTTTAGTTAATTGAGCCATTTAACAAACAAATGACTAATTTGGTGAGTTAGTGGAAACATTTCCTTACTCGCAGCCAATGGAGCAAGTGTCTGTCCTCATATTTCTGCCAGCAGCTGAAGCACATATTCTGTCAGGAGGCCGAGGGATCTCAGTGGTCAACCAAAATGTAAAACTACTATTTCTAACTAGCCCAAACGTTCAGTGTTGTTACCACAGGATGTGCACAGAGCACTGCTGCTTTTCCTTCAGAACACACCAACATAACACACTATCAAAGCCCACAGTTGTTGTTTTTCCTTCACTGAGCACATACAGGTTAGAAAAAGTATGCGTGGTTACATATATGCTGAATAACTGAGAAAATTTTACTGAGCTTTATCACATTTTATATTTAGGGATGGGCGATGTGGCCCTAAAATGATATCACAATATTTCAGGGTATTTTTGCGCTAACTATATTCTTGATATTATGTAATTTTACGTGCTAACCTATTTTCTGTTCTTGACAGAATTTCCCTCAACTACTGGAGGATATCTGTAGAAAAACGTTAAAAATGTGCTTTGATAGAAACATTGCACTTGAACAAAACAAATGTTATTTGGTAGCTGTGGGAGGAACACACAAATACAGACTCAGGTGGATGGTTAAACATTGAGAGAGTGCATGAAGTCAGATTTCTTTTGGTGATTATAAATGAGAAAATCAGCTGGAAATCACATCAACATGTACAAATAAACTGTTAAGATGCAATTCAGTTTTAAACAAAGCGAAGCAGGTTCTGGACCAAAAATCACTACACATCCTCTACTGTTCACCAGTCTTACCATATTTAAATAACAGTGCAGAGGTTTGGGGCAACAATTACAAAAGTTCACTAAATTCACTGTCTATTCTCCAAAAAAGAGCAATAGGGATAATTCATAACGCTGGGATATCCAGATCACACCAACTCATTATTCTTACAGTCAAAGTTACTAAACATTTCTGATCTTGTGGATTTCCAACTGCACAAATAATTTTAAAGCAAGAAATAACCTACAACCTGGAAATATTAAAAAACTGTTCAGTGACCGAGACCGATAATTTAAGGAGGGGTTATTAAATTTCAAAACTCATAGTGTGACTTGATTTTTAGGTGCTAAAGAAAGGGAGTCGAGATGTACACCAACTTAAAGCCTTTATTCTTTAGCCCCAATGACAGTCATCTCAGTTTTGTCTTTGTTTAGTCGGAATATATTCTGGCACATCCACTCGTTCATTTGCTCAACGCACAGATGAAGTGAGTCAATAAGAGCACAGTCACTTGTTGACAGAGCTATGTGTAGTTGAGTATCATCTGCATAGCTGTGGTAAGCGATATTGTTCTTATGCGTAATTCGGCTGAGTAGGAGCATAAGGTTGAATAGGAGAGGGCCTTGAATTGAACCTTGAGGTACTCCACTGGTCACAATTGCATACTTAGACACAGATGAACAGTGTTTGGCTTCCCCCCATGCTGCTGCCAGCACCCGGACCTCCACCACTGGACGGGTGGAGACCTCTGAGGGAAGCCAAACAGCATTCATCTGCACACACTGTGATGACACACAGCTGGTTGAATATGAGCAAAGTTTCCCTGCTTCCCTTCACTGGTTCCTGTACAGCAGGGTCGGTCTTTGTTTCACTGTTATAATCATTAAAAAGCAAAAGCAGCATGTGTGTACATTCAGTAGGCTGTATCTTCTGTAGCTAGCTAGCTAACCCTACACTTTTCAGGGTTTTATTTTGGTTTTGGAACAGGGAAGAAACGTATATCTTTTTCCAACCACTCCAGTTAACGAGTATCATTAATACATGACGTAATTACGACATAACTCAATAAATCCATTTAACCTAATGTCACCTAAACGTACTGTCGACTGAAATTATTCAATCAGCCCTACCTGTAGCTCGCAGTCTTCTCACACTGATACTGATGTCAATCTCTGTCCTGCTACCATTCACACAAACTGTCTCCAAATGAAGTCCATCTTAATAGCTATTGTATGCTAAATCAATAGACTGCTGGCTTTATGAACCCTTGTGTACTCTCAACTATTTATTCTAAGTTTTAGAGCAGAATTTTAATGTTCTGTGGTGATTCCATCTATAAAGCATTTTCTGTGGTCTGAATCTTGAGCTCACCTTCTCGTAGTACAACATGTTCTTCTCAGCAGTGGATAGAAAGGCTGATTTGAGGTCAGTTCTCATGCTGCTCTGCCATCGGGACCAGTCTCCCTTCAAGGCGTTGTTGGCCTGCTCCACACGATCCGCCAGAGCGTCCACCTCATCCTGCAGCTGCTGGTCAAACACACAAACAAAGACTGAACACTTCCAGAGAGCAAAGATCACTGTCTGACAAATACATCATCTGTTCAGTAAAATAAATGTGGCTGTCAGTTTACCAGCATTAACAGTGATAGTGTTTTTATCAGGGATGGAAGATCGTTACTGAAAGTCAAATATAAGTCTAGTTTTGGTCAGAAAGTCATGACAGCCTACAGTGTCTCCACAGAGAGCTGTGTGAAGTCTTGAGCTGCAACTAACAATTATTTTCATCACTGATTAATCTGCTGATTATCTTCTAGATCAATCAGTTAATTGTTTGGTCTATAAAACGTCAGATAATAGTGAAAAATGTCCATCACAGTTTGTCAAAGTCTGAGAAGAAGTCTTTAAAGATCTTGTTTTGTCATTTATAAACAAAGATATTCAGTTTAAAATGACTAATAACAGAGCAAAGCAGGACATCTTTATATTTAAGAGCTAAAACAGCATTTTCTGACATTTTTGCATGAAATTTTACTTTAACAATTAATCAATTCTTAAAATAGCTGGCCATTATTTTTCCTTCAATTGATTAATTGTTGCAGCTCTAATGAAGTCTGATACATGTCCTCAGGCAATGTCACTTGAGTCAATGTCAATTGGATTTGAAGACTTTAAGTTGGAAAGAAATAAAAACCTGGAGGTGTTGAGTCAGAAAGAAGTGAGCTTTCCAGACCTCTGTGGCCTGCTGCTCATCTCTGCTGCAGACTAATAATAATAATAATAATAATAATAATGATACATTTTATTTATACAGCGCTTTTACAGCTCTCAAAGATGCTTTACATTTAAAACCAAAGAAAAGAAGTACATACATGTAAGTGCAAAGACATAAACAGAAGACAAGGACAATATAAAACAACAAGGTGCAAAAGCATAGTGGAAAACAAAGAAAAGGAGGGCACATGAGGAACCGAGAACGAAAAGCTAATGTTAAAGGTTAAAAGCGGATTTGAAAAGGTGGGTTTTGAGAAGTGATTTGAAGGTGGATGGATTTGGACAGTCACGGATGTGTATAGGGAGGGTGTTCCAGAGGGAGGGGATGGCTATGGAGAAGGTTCTGTCGCCCCAGGTTCGGTGCTTGGTCCTGTGTGGAGGTGAGAGGAGGTTTCTGTCGGATGATCAAAGGTTGCGGGAGGGAGTGTGGTGGTGGAGCATGTCCGTGAGGTAGGAGGGGGCCTGGCTGTGGAGGGCTTTGTGGGTGAGGAGGAGGATCTTGAAACTGATTCTGTACAGGACAGGGAGCCAGTGAAGGTTTTGCAGGACAGGGGTTATATGTTCACGGGAGCTGGTGTGGGTGAGGAGGCGGGCGGCAGAGTTTTGGATGTACTGAAGTTTGTTGAGGACTTTGGATGATGAGCCGTAGAGGATGCTGTTGCAGTAGTCCAGTCTTGAGGTGATGAAAGCATGGATGAGAGTTTCAGCGGCAGAGAAGGAGAGCAATGGACGGAGACGGGCAATGTTTCTAAGGTGAAAGAAGGCAGTTTGGGCGAGGCGGCTAATGTGATGTTCAAATGAGAGGTTATTGTCGAAGATGATACCAAGGTTGCGGATGAATGGGGAGGGAGAGAGGGTGGTGTTGTCAATGCTGAGGGTGAAGTTTTGTGTTGCTGTAGAGAAGGATTTTGGGCCGATGAGTATTATTTCAGATTTGTCACAGTTGAGTTTGAGGAAGTTGGCTTGCAGCCATGATTGGAGTTCAGTCAGACAGTTGGTGAGGGTAGAGCGGGTGGCCGGGGTGATGGATTTTGTGGAGATGTAGATTTGGATGTCGTCAGCGTAGCAGTGGAAATGGAGACCATGACGACGGATGATGGAACCAAGGGGGAGTAGGCAGATGATGAAGAGGAGAGGCTCAAAGCTTTTTTAGCCGCTACTAGTACAACACAGCCAACTTTCAGACAGATGGTGTGTTTCATTTGCACTGGGAAGTCGGAATTACTGAGCTCCCAGTTGAAAATTTCAAATGAAACTCCCCCTAAAGGCAAATTTCCTACTCGGAAAGTCGGCGGACTCTCACACACCCCAGCCTCAAAATACAATATCACTGCTCCATGCATCAAGAATAGTGAAAGCTGTAGTAATATTCTGTTCATTCACACATAAACACAGTACTGTCTGACTTCTATCTGTGGACATGTTGCTATGATGTTTATATGTGAAAAATACAGTGTAATGTGTTGTTAGTCTACTGATACAGAGTGCTGCAAGGATGAAGTTTGTTTGTAGGCCGATTCGGAAGTTAGCCCTGCTCTGGCTCCCTCTTCAAAAACCTTGCAGGATTTGTACATTGGATTTTAGATTCTTGCAGAAAATAAGCTCAAGACAATCTTCACATGATGACAACCGACACATAAAACCTTAAATATTCAAGAATTGGGTTTTTACTGATGTATTTCATGACATAGAAAAAAACCACAGAGCATATTTCAGGCATCTAACAAAAAATCCATAACAAAAAACAACAAACAAAACACTGACTTCGAGGCGAGAGAAACCCTAAACTGCTAACTCATTTTGGGGTTTCTGGGACTAATTCCTGGGCCACTCCAGTGCTAACAATGACGACCCTGGCTAGAGCTGGGTATTCTTGTGGCTGAGTGGTTAATGTCACGTTCAGACTACACAATTTTTTTGTGTAACAACCGCCACTGTGTCGGACTAGGTGATTATAGAATCAGAAATTCTGGCCAGGACTTGGCAAGGAGCCATGACAGACTGCCCGCCGGTCCCCGACTAATCATAGCTTGCTTTAATCACGACCTTTGTTGGGAAGGAGGTGCTACCGGCTGACTTCAGGGACAAGAATGTGAACAAATAATGGCGCCTGAAGCGGAATGTGTTAAGAAACCTTTAAAGTAAAAGAAGAAACACAACGATGATCTTCCATGAGTTCCACCTAGCAGCTCCATCATCATTCCTCTTTCATTTTGCCGTGTTAATAGCGCTCTCTGTGGTCCTGTTGGCCAACATCAGCACGCACATTGTTGAATATGTCATAAAAAATTCTACTGCACTAGTCTCTTTGCTGGGACGTCATGAGGCATCCCAGATGTGGCATCAATTGTCATCTACCGTGACACACCACAGGTCCTTCTGGAATCATCACAAAGCTCAAGGATCTGGGATTAAACACCACACTGTGCATGTGGATCCTTGATTTCCTGACAGGCAGACCTCAGGTAATGAGAGTGGGTGGAAACACCTCTTCCATCTTTCATCCTTAACACTGGAGCACCCCAAGGCTGTGTTTTGAGCTACCTGCTGTACTCCCTGTACACACACAACCTTGTAGCTACTTTAAACACAACCATCAAGTTTGGCTGTGGTGGGCCTGATCTAGGGCTGCCACTAACAATTATTTTCATTGTCGACTAATCTGTCGATTATTTCTTCGATTAGTCGACTAATGATTTTATTGAAAAATGTGTTAAAATGTTGAAAAATGTCGGTCTGTCTCTCCCAAACCCCAAAATTACGTCATCTAATGTCTTGTTTCATACTCACGCCAAAGGGTTTTAGTTCACTGTCATGGGAGAGTGTGTAAAGCTGCCAATATCTGAACGTAAGAAGCTGCAGTAAGAGTATTTTGGATACTTTTATAGTACTTTTCTATGAAAAATGCCTCAAACCGATTAATCGACTACTAAAATAGTCACCGATTATTTTAATAGTCGATTAGTCATCGATTAGTCGACTAATCGTGGCAGCCCTAGCCTGATCACGGATAACAATAAACAGGTCTACCTGAAAGAAGCAGAGGACCTGACCAGCTGGTGTCAGGACAGCATCGTACTCCTGACTGTCAGCAGAACTAAGGAGATAATCTTGGACTTTGGGAAGAAGCAGCCAAGAAACTACGCTCCCCTTAACATCAACGAGTCCTCAGTGGAGAGGGTGGATGGCTAGGGCCTGACCTGGGCGCGGAATACTGAGTCAGTGGTGAGAAAAGCAAGGCAGAGAATGTTTGACCTTAGTCGCCGATAGAAATTCTAGGTATCCCCTCAGATACTGAGGAATTTCTACTCCTGCACCACTGAGAGTGTCTTGACGGGGAACATCACTGCCTGGTGCAGAAACAGCACCGAACAGGACTGCAAGGCTCTGCAAAGTGTGGTTCACTCAGCTGAACATAGGCGCTGCTCTAACCTGCATAAAGGATGTTCACACAAGGTAAAGATAAGGCAGGAGTATTACTAAGGATCCCAAATAACTGCCTTTTCTCCTGCTGAGGACACAGCCCAATATTTAATTTCAATTTTTTAATTATTTCAGCATTTATTTATTACTTATTTATTTATTTATGTTGTTAAGCTGACTTCACATTAAGCCTTTAGCAATGTTGCTGAGCCAGCCTTTTGTTCTGATAGGCGTGCTAAATTTGACAAATAAATCCAGACAAAGTGAGAGCAAATGGTAAATATTTAATGTGTTTGTGGACCAGTGCCACACACCACAGCATTTAGAGCCTGAGATCGGTTGTTATGCCTGTTCCTAAATGGGCCTCAGAACACCACAAAGCCCACACTATGATACAAATACTGTAAAACTATGAATGAAAAGTACCAGATAATTCATGACCACACAAGTTTGGATCAAACGACTGCATGGAAAGTAAAAGCTGTCATTTTAGGCAATGCTGCCAAAAGAAGAGTGAATATTGGACTTACAGTCATTAAGCAGATACAAATACGAGTCAACATGAATGCTAATGTTGCTATTTGTCTGCTGGAGGTAGAAATATGCAACTGTTTGCTAACACATTCAAGTAAGGTGATATTATGTCAATAGCTCCTTTCACACTGCCTCTTCAAGGTGGGAATTTAACGGTGATATGCCACCACGCCATCCTGTATAAAAAGTATAATTGTGGCTTGGGGGGACAGAGTTGGCACTAGAAAAAGTAACAGCTCTGTATAAGGAGATTTAAAAAGAAGGTGGTAGCAGTTGGCAGCTAACTCAAAGAAGAACAA